GGTCGGCCCGCGGCTCCGCCGCCTCACGGCGCCGCCATGCAGCGGGCGGGGCGGGGCGCGCCGCCACGTGACCGCGCCGCCACCTTGGCGACGGGCAGACGCTGCCGCAGCGCCGCCATCTTCGGTGCTGGCCCGGCGAGGGGCGGGCACGGCCGGGCCCCGCCCCGCGGCCCCGCCCCGGGGCCCGGCTCTGCTCCCGCCCCCGGGGCCGCCCCCGCGGGCCCCGCGCGCCGCACCGGGGGCTCTGCTCCCGCCGCCGGGCCCGCCCCGCTCGGGCCCGTTACTCCGAGCTCCCCGCGCAGCCCCCGCCGCCGCCGTGGGGCGGCGCTGCGCGGCCGTGGAGCGGGGCGGGCGGGCCGGGGCCGGCCGGGGCGGGCCGGGGCGGGGCGGTGGCGGGGGTAGGTACCGGGGCGGCCGCCCGCCGCCGCATCGGCAGCGGCGCCGGGACTGGGAGCGGAGCATGGCGCCGCCGGGCCCGGAGGGCGGCCGAGGTGAGGCGCGGCGAGCGCGATCCTCCCCGGGACCGCGGCTCCGGGGATCACACACCGGGAAAGGGGTGGGATGGCGGGTGACGGCTCCGCGGGGCCGGGCGGGACAGGAGCGGGGTGGCGGGGCACCGGGCGGTGGGCGGGCGCCGCTCCCCCAGCCGCCCCCTCAGCGCCCGGTTCGCCCGCAGCGGCCGCCACGGCTCCCGGTAAGAAGATCACGGCGCGGCTGAAGCGGACGCTGCCGGTGCGGGGCCCGCAGGCGCCCACGCTGAGCGAGCTGATGCGCTGGTACTGCCTCAACACCAACACGCACGGCTGCCGCCGCATCGTGGTGTCCCGCGGCCGCCTGCGCCGCCTGCTCTGGATCCTGCTGACCCTCAGCGCCGTGGGGCTCATCCTCTGGCAGTGCGCGGAGCTCCTCATGAACTACTACAGCGCCTCGGTCTCCGTCACCGTCCAGTTCCAGAAGCTGCCGTTCCCCGCCGTCACCATCTGCAACATCAACCCCTACAAGTAAGGCCCGGGGCTGGGAGGTCAGCACGGCACCGGACTCCTTCCCGAGCTCGTCCCGGTGCTGCTTGTCAGCGCTTTCCCAAGTGTGGGTTTACCTGTACGGCACCTGCTGTGCCACATCCCCTTCTGTGCCGTGTGCCTTTCACTCCTCGCTGCTGCCTGCTCACCTCGGCTCGGTTCACGCTGCTTTCTGCTCCAGACAGTCCCTGTCAGCTCTTTGGCTCTTCAAATTCCCTTCTTTTCAGGATTACAAATAGCGTCATCTCCTAAAGAATAGAAAGAGGACATCTGTCACTCCTCTCTTGCTTCTTTCTTTCCTTATGGGGGATTTTTATATGGTCTATCAACAATACTTTTTCTCTTGTCAAATCATGCTTTACATTACTGTCTGTTGTGCTGCCAGATTCCCACCCCGGGTCCCCACGGGGATCCTGCTCTCTGATGACTCTTCACAGATGAAGTCTTATTTCAACATACTCTGTCTCCTCAGGCTTCCTAATATAAGGAGCTTGAGAGTTTTGGGAGAACTTTCTCTGTAGCTCAGTCTGCTCTGCTTCTTGTGGTCCTTGCTCTGAGATCTCCATGGATATAACTGTGTCTGCCCTCACTGGTGTGAGAAACTGCTCTGAGACCTCCATGGGGAATTCTGTCCCCAGCCCTAGCAACCACAGTGCAGCAGGCAGAGCACTGCAGCTGGGCAGTGAGGTGGGATGGGATGTCACTGTCATGTTGTCTTCCACGCAGGTACAGTGCCATGAAAGAATATTTATCTGAGTTGGACAAAGAGACAAAAAAGGCTTTGGAAACTTTCTATGGATTTTCTGAGGGCAAGTCCAAGGTGCGCCGGTCAGTGGATGACTGGAACAGCACAGGGAGCGACTTCTTCCAGCAGATCCCTCTGCTGAAGGTCGAGGACTTCTCCAGGACAGCGACTGACCTGCACAGTGGGCAGAAGAGGAAAATAGAGGGAAGTGTCTTTCACAAGGACTCGTCCATCGTGAACTCGGGTGATTCCAATGACATCATTGGCTTTCAGCTGGTGAGTGTCACTGTGCCCTGGCCAGCAGGTTCCCCGTGGGGCAGCAAAGGGCTGTGCTGGGGTCAGTGTCCCTCTGGCAGGTTTTATTGCCTGCTCAGGTGGCTTTGTGGTACACAGTGGTGAAGAGCACCCTGTCTGCTCTTCTGCCTAAGCTGCCGTGGCTGCTGCAGATTCACCTCCTGCTCTCTGGAAGAGAAGTACCTTCCTGAAGTCTTCCCAAATAGAATTAGTGTCATCTGTGACCTTTTTTGGTCCTGAAATATTTGGTCATATCATTTAGCCCTGCATAAAAGGTCTTTGATGCCCACTGTAATTTCATACATGGTTGTTTTTGTGGAAGAGAAACACTATAGGGTGTACCTTGTGCAATCCTTCATTTACACCTCCCTTGTAGAATCCATGATTTCAGTCCATCTGAAATGTTTCTTCACCTTTGTGCTTGTCAGTGTGACGCGAACAACAGCAGTGAGTGTGCCCTGTACACGTTCAGTTCGGGTGTTAACGCTATCCAGGAGTGGTACAAGCTGCATTACATGAACATCATGGCACAAATTCCCCTGGAGACTAAGGAAAAATTGAGTTATTCTGCTGAAGACCTTATACTGACATGTTTCTTTGATGGCCTATCTTGTGACAAAAGGTCAGTGCACAGAAAATTCCTGCCATCTTAACAGTTTATTTCCAAGTCCATAATATATAGGAATGGAATATTTGGTATTTGCTGAATTCCAGCAGGAGCCACTGCTAGTTCTGTGAATTTGCCTCCCCTGTGCCATTAACCCCCATTCCCACATTAAAACTTCCTCGAGTTTCCATCTCCTGATGTATTAAACTAGATCATACTGCCATGTAGTTTCAAATTACTCAGAAAGAGTCCCACATATTTCAGCAAAATAAACTTCTTGAAAAGAAATAATAAACCCCGCATGCAGTTCTGGTCTGTCTCTCTCAAAACCAAAGCCCAAATATGCTGCCTTTCTCCCACAGGCAGAACTACAGGGACTAATGTCACGATATTCGATTTCTTCCAGGCACTTCACTCGTTTCCATCACCCCCTCCACGGCAACTGCTACACCTTCAACAGTGGCGAGAATGGGACCATCCTGAGCACGTCCACGGGTGGCAGCGAGTACGGTGAGTGGGGGCACTTGGCACACAGGGGCTATTCCAGGGCACTTTGCACACGTGTGGTGTTCCAGGGCGGTTTGCAGAGGAACTGTTTGATAACAAGTGGTTCAGCAAACTGGATCCTGCTGGAGCGTGAGCGATGTGTTGGCTGTAGATGTACAGGCTGATTGGGGAAATGCCTGTTTGAACTAGTGCAAGCTCTTGCCTGAGAATACAGATAATATCATTGCATCACTAATGTTTTCCAGCTGAAATTACTGCTGCCCAGTTATATAACTTTTTAAAGTGAGTTCCAGCCACGTTCTACGCAGATGTAATTTGTTTGTTGTACTCGGTACCACCAAAGGATATTTCTGGCTGGGCCGAGGCTGTGTTTGGCTGCTACAGTTCTGCTTAAGGCCAGATAACATGAAATAAACCGTGCTGCCCTCCCTGACCAGAAATGTGGCTCTGGCTCCTGGTGTAACTTCCTGCCTCGTCTCTGTGGTTCAGGATTGCAGGTTGTTCTGTACATCGACGAAGCCGACTACAACCCCTTCCTGGTGACATCCACGGGAGCCAAGATCATCGTCCACGACCAAAACGAGTATCCCTTCATTGAAGACATCGGCACTGAAATTGAAACTGCAGCAGCCACCTCCATAGGGATGCACTTTGTGAGTGGCAACAATCTCCTTTGGGGGCGCCCCTTATGCCTTGGTACTGCTGTAAATAGGAGCTGATGAGGTGATTTCAGAGAGCCAGCAGCTCGAAGGCCTTCAAATACCTCCCACTCAGCAGCTGAAGTGCCCTGAGGGAAATCCTGTGATAGCACTTTTCTGAACAAAAGAGGCCTTGGGAAAATCAGGTCTTTATAAACCAAAGCAGCTTGGGATATTGTTTGTTCTCCCTTTTCTTCCACCCCTTGGCTTTCCAGGGGATTTTTGGTTTTGTTTTCACAGCAAAATCCACAACCACAAGAATGTGTTGCCAAGTGCCTCATTCGGCTTCAGCAATGAGCAGGGAGTTTCATCCCACGAGGGTCCCTGAGCTGGAGCTGTGGGTACCCGCACTGGGGTCAGGTCCTTAGGGATGGTGGCAGCACAACCCCTTGAGCTGTTTTGTGAATGTGAGCCTCATTTTGCTGGTTTTCTTTCTATCCCAGCAGTAAAAACACCCTCGTGGGCAGCGGCTGTGCTTTTGCCAGCTGTGAGCAAAGGCAAGGAGAGCTGCAGCTCCTGCTTTCCCCATTTAGTGTAGTTCAGAGGAGGCATTTGGCCCAAGGGGGTTCAGCACAGCAGCGAAAGCTGTGCCAGGTCCTCTTTCATCTGGATGGGCTGTTAAGTGAGCACTTCAGCTCTGCTTTTCTTTCTGGTGGTTTGGTGGGAGTATCAGCCATCCTCCTTATCTGGGTGTGCCGAATCGTGGTAGGCCCTGCATTAGAAAAGACATTAAAAGAGGGCTGATGGTTTACAAAATGCAAATAGTTAACTGTCTTCCAGTTGTCTGGAAAACTGTGGCATCAACTCCTTGGTCAATCATGATTGAGAGCTTTGGGAACCAGGATGGTGTGAGGACACAAAGTCTCACAAGACTGTTTTCTCTGTCACCATCACACAGTACAGAGACAGCCACGGAAGGCAGAGTCTCAATATTTAATGTAATATGTTCTTAGCACAATAGGTTTGGACTGTAGCTGTAGTATAAGAAACAAGATTGGGCACATCTTAGTGTCTGTATATAAAAG